GGGCTCAGGCAATCCACTCACCTCAGCCTCCCAAAGGCGCGGGATTACAGGCTGAGCCACTGAGCCCGGCTGTCATGTTCTTCTTGAAAAACCCATTATTAGCTCTTCATGTGGACAGATTCCGATGTTTTTCACTTATAAGTCACTGCAAGGTCTGGCTCCTAATTAACTCCCAGTGCCCACTTCCCCTTTGCGCTCTGACTGCATGGAACTGCACGGATGCCCCTGAGTGTAGTGTACTGCCTCTCCCTGGGCCTTGCGTTTACTGCCTCTCCCTGGGCCTTGTGTTTGCTCCCCCTTCCACCCTCATGTGAGCACACTTTCAGACTCTCATGTCACTTCACCTGGCTGATGTCACTTCTCATGTGGTCATTTCTTGATCCTTGGATTAAGTGCTGCTCCTGTACCTTCCCATAGGGCATTTTGCTGGTGACCCTGTTATAACACTTGAGTTTTGCAATTGCCTGCTCTCTTAACTATAAGCTCTATAAGAGCAGCATTAAAAACAAGGTAGGGCCTTCTGTGTTTAAGGAGCCCACAATTTATTGGAAAATTAGACGTGAACATTAAGAAATTATTATTGATGCTGTAATAGAGAAAGCAGTAAAATTGAAAGTGGTTAGCTCTGATTTGGGCTGTAGGGGAGACTTCATAGATAATGTGACACTTTTGAATTCACTCAAATGTGGGGAAGACTTTGCCAGCTAGAGAAAGGAGAGGTGAGAAGTGAGAGAGGGGCAAAGACGTTTTAAGCAGAGGGAGCAGCAGGACAAAGGTGGTAGTGAAGGGGGAGTGGATGGAGGGTGTGGTTAGAGGCTAACAGTGAGAGGAAGCAAGGGACTTAAGTCAAGCCAGTGGTTTTACTAAGTAACTAGACTTATGGTGAAGTGGGCCATAGGCATTTCAGAGCTGGGCTAATTCGGGCAGAGGCAGTGGGTGTGGAGAAGAGGACCTATGTTTAAGACAGACATCTGGGAGAGGAGTGACAGGACCTTGCATGTGGATAAAAGGGGGAAGATGGACAGTGAGGAATTGAGATTTGTAGCTTGAGAGGCTGGGCATTGGGAACACTACCGATACTAAAGAGGAGAGAGTGAGGAGATAATGAATTTGAGTTTTGAGATGTTAGGATGGAGAGACCTTGTGGAGACTTGGCATCCAGCAAACACATGCTCATCACGTGTGGTATTAGTATTAGACTTTGGGATTTATGTAATGATTTAGCTAAGGCAAATTGGTCTGTTGAAAGGGAATAGATGGGAGAAACTAGTGAATACTGATGCTTAGGAAAAGTGGGAATGCAACAGAGTTTTATCATTGTATCTGCACTAAAGAGAAATCCTGTTATTTAAGGCAGTGCTCTTAACACAAATTTTACTTACCCGCATTAAGAAGCTCTGAATGTTCCCTCCTGGGCTTTCCAGGAATGAGATCGGGTAGGGATAGGAGGACAGAGTGGTTGGACCACATGCGTTGTAGCAGAAGTGGCAGGTCCGTGAGGGATACCTAGTATTAGAGCTCGGCACTTAGCATAGTCCTTGGTACTTGGTAGGCACTCAGGGAATGTCTGTTGAATAAATGTGCTGAAAAGTGAAGTGTGCAAAAGAAATTCTTGCACCAAAAGGTAGGAAGAACTGGACTTGGAGAAAGGTTCAAAATCTTTACAGGACTAGTAGCAGTTTAATCATATGTCCCAGGGAGGTAGCCTCACTGGATTAGGGAGTTGGCACTTTCTGATTTTGTTTTTATTCAGGATGGGCTGCCCAATTTTTTTCCCCCTGGATTCATATCAACATGTATCACTAGATCATCACATTAAGGGCTGGGCCGTGGGCCCTGTGCTCCATCCACAGTGGACAGAGTAATTGTTTACTTGAAATTCTAAATCCTTAAGGTGAGAAATTCTTACATAAATTAACTTGGAATTCAGAAGAAAATTACTATGTTTGCTGAAACGTGTAGGAACTGAGTATACACGTGGCTTTTTAAACCCAGTATTACCTATCAGTCATCATCAATTTGTCTAATAGTTCTTAATACCAAACTTAGTCTGTGCACCCTTTGATGTCCTCTACTAAATGTATAGTCCTTCTCGAAAGTCAGTGTATAGCTTTCATGTTTAATGGTCATTTCAAACCAAGACTCACTAGGGTGCAGTTATTTGCTAGTCAACAGAGTAACCCCTAGCCACTTTGACATGTCCTCATGTCCTAGGGCTCCAGCAACTCAGATGCCTCTTGGTAAGTTGTGTTGACTGCTAATTTATATTGAATTTCTAATTTATTCTTTTCAAAAATTCTCTCCAAATAGCGAAAAGACAAACTTCGGGAACACATGCAAAGGATGCATAATCCTGAGAGAGAGGCCAAGAAAGCTGACCGCATCAGCCGCTCCAAGACATTCAAGCCTCGTATCACGTCGACAGACTATGACAGCTTCACGTTCAAGTGCCGTCTGTGCATGATGGGCTTCCGGCGACGTGGCATGCTGGTCAGTGCCCAGTGGCTGCAGGCTCCTCTGTCTTCTAAACATCGTCTCATTTCTGTCGATGATGATGGCTTTTGCATTGTGTTCCGCATTGAGTTATAGCTGTCAATCTGTTTTGTCACTGCTTAGTGACAAACAGAGGCAGACAGTTTCCAACTTGGAGTTCTCACCTTTCTAATCCCCCTTTGTCTTCCTTTGCCATTTTCTGGGTCACTTCTTGGAAAAGGCATTTTTCTACCGCTTTTCATTTCTAGTTTTGCTTTTCTTTACCTTCTTAATCTCTTTGCTGTTACCTATTTTATTTCCCTCTTTTGTGTTCCTGAATATATTTTCATGTGGAATCTTTGCCTCCTCCTTGACTGTTCCCTTTTAATGCCTCTCTTTTCCAGACATCAAACAACAGTAGAAGGAAACTTTCCGTCAAAACGGGGTGTGTGGACACAGGTTAGCTAAAACATTGGGACAGCCAGTTCTCTGCTCTCAACTCATTTTGACCTTGTTACAGTTGCAGAGTATATTTCTGCCAGGAGCTGGAATGCCATAAAGCAATATTTAAAATTCAGAACTTTAGTTTGTATCTCATTCAATGTTGTTAGAGAGGCTAGGACATTAAATAATGAAAGACGGGTTTGCATCAGGAGAATTCACTAAAGAAATTCATGCTAGTGTAATTTTCCTTTTTCTAGCAGTGGTTCTTTCAGCCAGAGACTGTTTATGGGATCCATGGTGACCCAATTCGCCTTCAGTTATTTGCTGAATCACTGTTAACAGGAGTTAACAGTGACTGTTGAATGCTTTTGTGTCAGATGGGTCTGGTGATGTTGGTTCTGGCCAAATGCCTTATTGTTTTAGGTCATTGCTTCAGATAATTTCAGTGTCTAGTTGTCATTATCAGAGTATGTGTGTTGCTTCTATTTGTAATTGGGTCTCTTTTTCTCATTTGTTCTTTGTTTTCACTTTAGGTAAATCACTTATCAAAGAGGCACCCAGACATGAAGATAGAAGAGGTGCCAGAGTTAACTCTACCCATCATAAAACCCAACCGTGATTACTTTTGCCAGTATTGTGATAAGGTAAAAGTTAAATACCCATACTGGCTTGCCACTGTGGGGGCCCTGCTAAGAGCTAACTCATCTGCATTTATAAATATATACTAGGACCTTGCAGTTACTCTTAGCAAATGTTTCATTGTCACTCAGTAGTTCTCCATTCAGACGAAAGAGGACTAGAAATACAACCTCATTTTAAGTCAAATTTTTTCTTAAGAATTAGTTGACTTTGTTTTTCTTGTTGTCCCTTCTCTCTGCGATTTTTTTTTATCCAAGAAGAGACTTATTACCAAGTGTCTAGTATATGAATTCATTTCAAATTGCTAAGCTCTAAAATAAGAGTTTTTATCATATGACTTGTAAAATATATGATAGATTTTGGGTTTCTAGAAGATTGAGTGGGATGTGAAAAAAAGTTTCATCATGGAATACTCTACTTGTCCTCATTCTTTGTTTTTATGCAGTTACAAAAAAAGAAAAGATAGAATATACATTCACTGTCTCATTGTAATATTGTTTCTTATATAATGTAGCTTATATGACATCAGTTTAAAAGTAAGAAACATTTTTTAAACATGGATTCCCCATTAAAGGTACTAGTTGTTATTAAAATTGCCATTTGGAAGATTATCCTGGTCATCAGCTACACATATCATCTGAGAGCTTTCATGGACAGGCTGAAGAATAAACAGGTTTTAAAAACAATTCTCTTTCAATGTCTGTATATCCACCTTTTTTTTTTTTTTGAGTTGGAATCTCACTCAGTTGCCCAGACTGGAGTGCAGTGGCCGCTCCCGGCCACCGCAGCCTTGACCTGCTGGGCTCCGGTGATCCTTCCGCCTCAGCCTTCCAGTAGCTGGAACTACAGGCGCGCACTACCACGCCCGGCTAATTTTTTGATTTATTGTAGAGATGAGGTCTCACCTGCCCAGGCGGGTCTCGAACCCATGGTCTCAGGCAATCCACTCACCTCAGCCTCCCAAAGTGCTGGGATTACAGGCTGAGTCACCAAACCTGGCTTGTATATCCACCTTTTAACCTTTAAGGTAAAGAGTATTTTTACAGTTACTATCTTAGATAAATAAACTTAAGGAAGATGCCTGGCATATCTATATTATGTTCTTATTTTATTCTTATTGTCCTTCACTTGATCTGTTAATATATTTTATTTAGGACTACATGAATACTTTTTCTCATTTCTTCATAATGAAATTCTTAGTTTGCTTTAAATAAGAAAATAGAACTGTATACCGCTTTCATGGCAAAACATTCGAATTTACAGGTTTATAAAAGTGCCAGCAAGCGTAAAGCCCATATTCTGAAGAACCATCCAGGAGCTGAGCTCCCACCAAGCATTCGGAAACTCCGTCCTGCTGGTCCTGGAGAGCCAGACCCTATGCTGAGCACGCACACCCAGCTGACGGGCACCATCGCCACCCCTCCTGTCTGCTGTCCCCACTGCTCCAAGCAGTACAGCAGCAAGGTAGGGGAGATTTCTGACTCAATCTGAGGTCAAACTATTATGTAAGGAACTCCTAAGGGAAAATGGCTTCCCTTCCAGAGTTGTAGTGTGATTATATTCCGGTATGTCTCTATCTGTTGATGAGGTTCCTATTCTTTTAATATTAAAGTTCTTTTGATTCATACTACAATGATTATGGATTGGTGCTTTTGGCCTGAATGGCTCCTTCTGAATAGATGGGAGACTAAAAGAGATGTTATCTTAGTTCCTGTAAACAGAGACCAGAGCAAAGACTGGCGAGAGAATACTGTGGACCTTGCCCAGAGTTAGTGCCATCTAATAGCCTCTTCTGTTGGCCGGCTGAGGACCTAGTATTTGAATAGTCAGTGCTCATAGGTTATGGGCTCATGCTTATGGAAGTACTATATAGGAGTTTGTTTTTGTTTTTTTTTTGAGTTGGAATTTCACTCCATCACCCAGGCTGGAGTGCAGTGGTATGCTCATGACCACCCCAACGTCTACCTGCTGGGCTCAGGTGATCCTTCCACCTCAGCCTTCCAAGTAGCCAGAACTATAGATGCACACTACCATGTCCAGCTAATTTTTTGATTTATTGTAGAGATGAGGTCTCACCAAGTTACCCAGGCTGTTCTTGAGCTCATGGGCTCAGGCAGTCCCCTCACCTCCGCCTCCCAAAGTGCTGGGATTACTGACTTGAGCCACCGTGCCCGGCTTACATAGGAATTTAAGTGATGGTTTTGAAAAAGGGGGTTACTTTTGCTGGGGGGATTGTGATAGATTACTGCAGGTATTACTGGGGGTGCAGAATGCTGCGAGATAGTCGGCACCTTGCCTGACTGCATAGTGTCGAGTGGGTTTTTACTTCTTTTCAGCCCTCTTTTCCCCCATTTCATAGCATTGTGCCACTTTAGGGTGTGCAAACATGGAATCAGAGTTGCTCTGCTTTTTTTTTTAAGGTACAAGGTAAAAGACTTTAGAAACCTTTGGAGGGGGTACATATGAAAAAAATTAAAAGTAACAAATTCTAGCAATGATTTTTGGGTTTTGCCTTAATTTTCAGACTAAAATGGTTCAACACATTCGAAAGAAACATCCAGAGTACGCCCAGCTCCCTAACACCATTCATACGCCATTGACGACAGCAGTGATCAGTGCTGCCCCAGCAGTTTTAACTACAGACAGTGCCACTGGAGAGACTGTGGTGACAACAGACCTGCTCACCCAAGCAATGACAGAACTGTCCCAGACCTTAACGACAGATTACCGAACACCACAAGGGGACTACCAGAGAATTCAATATATCCCTGTGTCACAGTCTGCATCTGGTCTCCAGCAACCTCAGCATATTCAACTTCAAGTGGTGCAAGTGGCCCCGGTATTGTATTACATTTATTTCTCTTTCCCTTTATGAATGCCTTATTGCCATTAGTCATTATGGTGACTGGAGTCAACAAAAGCACCCTTTTCTCAGAGCTGGAGCTGGGCTCTATGTAATGTGGTTCTGCATGGAAGTTCTGAGTCTTGGGCATTTGTAAAATGCCTGCTACCTCAGGCCAATGAGACCTCTGGACTTAGCAGGTAAGAGATTCTTGTCTGTAGTAGTCAGGACATTTTAGATTCAGCATATATAGTCATTTTGTGCTATTGCAGGACAATACTTGTAGCACCTCTTTTGAATCCTTATCCTTGCAATCCAGGTTGATTACTTGGCAGTGAGCCAGTTTGATAAATCCCTACCCAGACATTGAATGACTCATGTCAAAGAGAGGTTGGAAAGAATAATTTTGTTTCAATTTCTGAATATCAGTCAATACCTTTTTAGTATCAAGGTATGACTCTATTCCTTCTACCAGCTCATTCTTACTGATCGGGGGCAAAAAAGGAAACCTTCCAGAACTACTGTTTCATTTAATTATGCTGAGAAGTGAACTCAAGGCACAGATGAACAAACTTGTTTCTTTGAAATCATTTGCTGGGTGCGGAGGCTCACGCCTATAATCCCAGCACTTTGGGAGACTGAGGCGAGAGGATTGCCTGAGCCCGCAGGTTTGAGAACAGCCTGGGCAACATGGTGAGACCTCGTTTCTACAATAAATAAAAAATTAGCTGGGCATGGTGGCGCATGCCTATAGTTCCAACTACTTGGAAGGCTGAGGCAAAAGGATTGTTTGAGCCCAGCAAGTGAGGCTGCAGTGGCCGTGAGCATGCCACTGCACTCTAGCCTGGGGGACAGATTGAGATTCCGACTCAAAAAGAAAAGAAATCATTTAGTCTTTGAAAATTTAAAACTAGCATGGGAGCAGGAAATTGGAAGTTGCCACTGTCACTGATAGTTCTTTATCTTGTTTTTCTCATGGGAGAATTCTTAACTTTAGAATTTGGAGGAATCTATAAGTCCCTGAAGTTGCTGGTGAATCATGATGTATATGTACCTTGTTCTGGGAAAAGGGCCTTTACTTTAGCCAGATTTTCGAAGATGTCTAAGATACACAAAAGGTTAGGTGCAGTGGCTCATGCCTATAATTCCAGCACTTTGGGAGGCCAAGGTGGGAGGATCACTTAAGCCCAAAAATTTGAGACCAGCATAGCCAACATAGTGAGACCTTGTCTCTACACAAAAATAAAAAAAATAACTGGGCTTGGTGGTGCATGCCTGTAGTATCAGCTACTTGGAAGACTGAGGTGGAAGGATTGCCTGAGCCCAGGCAGTCAAGGCTATGGTAAGACTGAACTTTTTTCTCTGGAAGGATTTCTTTTAACCTCAATATATGTTGGTTTCTGGGCCTGTTCTTTCTCCCTCCAGGCCACATCCCCTCATCAGTCTCAGCAGTCCACTGTGGATGTTGGCCAGCTCCACGATCCTCAGACCTATACCCAGCATGCCATCCAGGTACAGCACATCCAGGTTGCTGAGCCCACCACTTCGGCCCCGTCCTCATCCCAGGTATTCTTCTCCATGTACTGTTTAGGGAAGTTAATATGGTCTTAGAGCCCATAAAAGTTAGAGTGTAGACATTATCTTCAGATCTAGTCTCCTTGACTATTGAGGTATTGTTGTTTTTGTACCTTAATTAAAGGGTTTTACCTTTGTCTCCAATTTTTATATTTGGTATTGTGTATACGCTTACATTAAGTTATTAGCTTCTCTTGTCCAAATGGAGCCCTGTGGTATGATATCCTAGAAACAACACTGGTTTTTATTTCCCATTCTAAATTCAATTGCTAAGTTGCTTTGGTGGTTTGGAACAGTCGCTTTGTGGGGTAATATTGTGTATTATATATTATTGCATTTGTCTGAGTCTGTTATTGAGATATACAGATAAGTTATGGGAATTCAGAGAGGGAGAGATTATGTTTATAAGGGAATCAAGGGCATTTTGTAGAAGTGGTCTTTGAATTGGGTTTTGAAGAGGAGTATGATTTTGACACAGCAGTTGGGGAAGGCATTGTGATCAGAGTAAGCTCATACTGTTATTAAAGACAGAGATGGAAAATTGTGGTACATTAATAGAAAGCTGAGTTATTCTGTTTGAAAAGACAGTTGGAAAGCTAGTTTGGAACTGAGTTGTGAAGGGCCTTGTGTGGCAGGCTGTGGAGTATGGGTTTTACCTCACAGCCAGGGGTGACTCTCTTCACCAGATGGCTGAGTGTGTCCCTGTGGTGAACGCCACACACAGGGTGGGATTGTCCAGTGCAGGTTAATGAAAATGATCACTTTTGGGTTCTGATTCAGTTTGTATTCCAGATTAGCATTTGACAGTCACATTATTTCACCTCTCAATTTTTTTTAACCTTATATAATACAGGTAATTATGCTTTCATTCATTTATCTTTCTAACAAATTTACTGAAGTGAATTTTTCAGATACTTCTGTAGTTAATCTTTTGAAAACAAATTAGAATTTCATAGTTATGCTTGCTTTTCATGAATTCTATTCTTATTTAAAATACTGCTTTTAATAACAGCAGTGATACTTTCAGTATTATAACTCATGTTAGTCTGACTTACTTTCTTCCATTATCTGTGAGTCTTAACTACGTCGACAACTCATCACTCTCCACTCTCTCTTTCTCTCTCTCTCCCTAGGTAGCAGGGCAGCCACTGAGCCCCTCTGCCCAGCAGGCTCAGCAGGGGCTCAGCCCCTCCCACATACAAGGCAGCTCCTCCACACAAGGGCAGGCTTTGCAGCAGCAGCAGCAGCAGCAGCAGAATTCCTCTGTGCAACACACGTACCTGCCCAATGCTTGGAATTCCTTCCGTGGCTATTGTAAGTAGGAAAAATGGGGATGATGCTGTCTAGGTCATGGGTAGAATACCTGCAAATAGGCTGACCTTTATACTCAGCTGAAGTCCTGTGAAAGGATGTGGAGTGGTGAAGATGCCCATGGTGATAATAAGCTAGCAACCTAACCTAGAGAAAAGATTCTGGAACTGAAATTTTTTTATTAGGAAAAAATTTAAAAATATATAGAAGTAGAGAGAATAATGAACCTTCCTGTACCCATGATCCAGCTTTACTAGTTACCAACTCATGCCCAACCTTGTCTCATCTATACCCTGCCATTCTCTCATATCCTCCAGTGGGATGAAAGACCCATCATATCACTTCATCCATAAATATTTTAGTATGTATCTCTAAAAGAAAAAGACAGATTTTTTTTTGAGTTGGAGTCTCACTCTGGCACCCAGACTGGAGTGCAGTGGCACGCTTACAGCCACTGCAGCCTCCACCTGCTGGACTCAGGCAATCCTTCTGACTCAGCCCTCCAAGTAGCTGGAACTAATTTTTTAAATTTATTGTATAGATGAGGTCTCACCAAGTTCCCCAGGCTGGTCTCAAACCCCTGGGCTCAGGCAATCCTCTCACCTCTGCCTCCCAAAGTGCTAGGATTACAGACGTGAGCCACCGTACCCAACCATGAAAAAGACAATTTTTAATTAATTAATTATTTTAAATTTCATGCCTAACACCAGTGCTCACAAAGAAAGAGTATTTTTAAAAAACAAACTTCACACAACACTGTCACCTTATCACACCTCAAAGGAAATGACAATAATTCTTTATTACCCTCATACTTCAGATATCCAGTCTTTGTTCATATTTCTGTGATTGTCTCAGAATTTTTAAAAGATAGTTGATTTGTTGATTTTGGGTTCCAAATAAGGGCCATACGTTCCAATTGATTATGTCCATTGAGTTTATTTTAATGTATTTGTTTACTCTTTAAGTTGTAATTTCTATGTTGAGGAATTAGGTAATCAGACCCGTGGAGTTTGGATTTTGGTTGTGGTATTCCCATGTTACTCCTTAACATGCCTTCTTCTGTTCTTTTTATTTCATATAGATTGGCAATTAGATCTAGAGTCTTGATCAACTTGAACTTGGCCTTTTTTCTCTCGAGATACTGCATAGCTGGTGTGGTACTTCTTCAGAAGCACATGACATTCAGTCGTCTCTCTTTTTGTGATGTTAGAAGCCATAGACGTTTAATCCTTAGCTCTGTTATTTCACTGGGGGTTGCAAAGCAGAATTTAAACCCCTACATTGCAAAGTTGTGATACTCTGACTCCCTCATTCTTATTCATTAATCAGCTAGAAAATTTTTCCAAGGAAAAAATTTTATCTTAACTACCAGGTACTCTAATGTACAGTTTGTTAAGGAAAGGCAATATAAATTTCTTTTTTATTTTTGAGTTGGAGTCTCACTCTGTCGCCCAGACTGGAGTGCAGTGGCTGCTCCTGGCCACTGCAGCCTCGACCTGCTCAGCCTCGACTGCAGCCTCGATCCTTCCACCTCAGCCTTCCAAGTAGCTGGAACTACAGGCGCGCACTACCACGCCCGGCTAATTTTTTGATTTATTGTAGAGATGAGGTCTCACCAAGTTGCCCAGGCGGGTCTCGAACCCGCGGGCTCAGGCAATCCACTCACCTCAGCCTCCCAAGGCATAAATGTTTAAATACTTGATTCATTTCCTTTATTTACCAGTTTTAAAAAAATGAGTTGTTTTCCTTGTGTTATCCAAGGTAACCAGTGAGGGATGTGGGCGTGTCTTAGTGCTGTCATGAATTCCAACACATGAAATGTTTTAGCCTATTGCAGTTGTCATCCTTATTGATGCTCATGTTATCCCGTTATTGGCTAATAGGAACCTCTTCAAGCTGACTTCTGCTTCTTTCCCACATGAATCTGTAGCCTCTCTCATCGCATCTTGTATGCTAGTAAGACACATTGTCCGGGCTCTTCTTACACATTTTCTGTCCACATTTGGAATCAGCCACCTTCCCAAGAAAATCTTCTTCTACTCCACTTAGTAGAAAATATTATTTAGATACCATCAACAGAATAGTAAGGTGTACTTTGTTTTTAATTTGCTTTAATAACATTGGTGGTAAAATAAAATTCAAGTTGGATTAAATTATGATTGCTAGCCAACTACAGACACATTTGTGCCATAAATTCAAATCTGAATATAAAAGATAAAAATATTGAGCTAAAAGGAACTTATTTCAAGCTTTTAAAAAATTGTTCAATGTTGGTCTTTATGGATATTCAGAAGCTACATTTGCAGGGGGAATGCATTGATTGCCTCTGATACACAGTAGCTGTGTACTAGCCTTTTCTCATGTAGTCAGTTCTTTTTAAAAAATTTCATTTATTTATTTATTTACTTTTTGAGACTCCAGTCTCACTCCATCACCCAGGCTGGAGGGTAGTGGCACACTCATGGCCACCCCAGTGTTGGCCTACTGGGCTCCGGCGATCCTTCCACTTCAGCCTTCCAAATAGCTGGAACTACAGGCGCGCGCTACTACCCCCAGCTAATTTTTGATTTTTTGTATAGATGAGGTCTCACCAAATTGCCTGGGCCGGTCTCAAACCCACGGGCTCAGGCAGTTCACTCGCCTCAGCCTTCCGAAGCGCTGGGATTTCAGGCTGAGCCACCGAGGCTGGCCTATAGTCAGTTCTTATGAGAGATGCTTTCACTATATCAAGAAACAACATTATTGTAATACAGCGAGCAAATCTATGGAAGGTGTCAAGGTGGGGAATGTGGCCACTGGTTAGGTATTTGTTTCTAGAACTTGTATTGAAACTTGAGACCACTGAACTATGAACATTTCTTGTTTTTCAGCATCTGAAATTCAAATGATGACACTTCCCCCAGGTCAGTTTGTGATTACAGATAGTGGTGTGGCAACTCCAGTTACCACTGGCCAAGTGAAGGCAGTTACTCCGGTAAGCTATGCTGGTCAGTTGGTTTTTTCCTGTCCAACTCGTGGGTTATTTTTTAATGATTGGCTTACTCTTTGTTTTCTCACAGTAGATGATGAATTCTTTGAAAGCTGGATCTTGGTCTTTATCACTTTGTCCTCAGTGCCCTTTCCAGAAGGCTAAGATACAGCAAATAAACTGAATAAATAGTTATTCAGTTAATAACTATAATGATCCCAGATCCATCTCAATGAGCACCTTTTTTTATGCTTCTTGGAAAGATTACAGGTCCTCAAGACTACTGGTCTTCAACTAAGTTGGGAGAGAATAATATAAACAATATAATCAATTCATTAATCAATTATGGAGCCATTTTAAACAATTCACCCACCTCAAATTGAAAAACATTTGTATAAATTATCTTGTTAAATAGACACAATCAAGCTGGACAAGTACAATATTGATTGTGTCTACTACTTCTGGGTTTTTTTCCACTTTTATTTTATTATTTTAATTTTTACTTTAAAGTTATGGGGTACAAGTGAAAATTTACTACATAAGTAGATCGCATGCAGGTGAAGTTTGGGCTTCTAGCTGGCCCTCTCTTCCCCTGACTGTGGACTGGGTATCCAGTGTGTTGCCTACTACCTCTGTCTTTATCTTCACTGGTTTGTCTTGTCCTGCCTCTAAGTAACTAGGAGACAGAGTACATACTTTTAAATTTACAAAAATACTATTAAATGAATACATTATGGAGATCTAATGTACGGCGTGGTAACTATAGTTAAACATAATGTATTGTATACCTGAAAGTTGTTAACAGAGTAGATCCGGAATGTTCTTAACACAAATAAACCTGAAAGTATGTGAGGTGATGGATATGTTAATTGCTTGATTATTTGTTAATTATGCCTTAATAAAGCTGGAGAAAAAAGAAAAAAGAAAAAAGTACTATTAAGGGATAGGGATATTGGGATATTCTCCAGGGAAGACTATTTCCCAAAAAGCCTCAGAGGTAGTAGGGTAGTCTAGTGGCCTCAAAAACCTGACTTTTTTTTGAGTCAGAGTCTCACTCTATTGCCCAGTCTGGAGTGCAGTGATACACTCACGGCCACTGATACCTCAACCCTCTGGGCTCAGGCCATCCTTTCTTCTCAGCCTTCCAAGTAGCTGGAACTATAGGCATGCGCCACCACGCCCAGCTAATTTTTTGATTTATTGTAGAGATAGGGTCTCGCCATGTTGCCCAGGCTGGTCTCGAACACCTGGGCTCAGGCAATCCTCTCACCTCCGTCTTCCAAAGTGCTGGAATTACAGATGTGAGCCACCGCACCTGGTAATTTCCTAAAGTGTGCTGAGAGTTCACCCCTTTCTCAACACACAAGATCACATCCTTGACTTAGGAGAGAAGTTTAAATCCAAAGTAACAACTATTAATTGTCAGTGAAAACTAATGTAATATGGAATAGTCACATTGGCATGATCAGGGATTTTTTTGCTCCCTGTAGGACCCATTGGCTTTTTTCTTTTTCTGGCCAGGAACTTATTTGAGAAGCTGATTATAGTCAAGGTTGTTTCCCTCCTTGTGCTATGATGTACGTATGCTCAAATTTCTGTACACTTTGGGGCATGGGTTCTCTGAAGCCCACCTATGGGAACCCTAGGAGTCAGTGGACCTTAGACTGAGAACCAGCCCCCTTCCCTCGAAAGACCCACATGGGAAAACAAACCATACTCAGAAAGTTGCACGGTGGGCATGGACTCAGAATACATGGCCCTAGATGAATCAGGTGGGTGTTTGGCAGTGTTTTTTTTTTTTATTTTTTCTAAACAGTGCTTGGAAAGGCTTCTGCCTTTCCCTCTGTGACTTCTCTTCCTCTGCTTCTGTAGCTAACCAATCCCCATTCTGACTGACTAACACATTATTTCTTTAAAAATGTTAACATAATGAAGCAGTCACCTACAGGTCTGTGAAGAAGTATTCATGATCAGAGAGAAAATGAGAAAAAATAAAGATAATGTGTACATTTTCATAAAACTAAATGTGTTCAACGTAAGAGATTTTATTCTAAGACTGCGTTATTCTATGCTCTTGAGTGTTAAAATTTCTCTTTGACAGTGGCATATTTTAAATGAACTCACTTGTCAAAATAAAATTTTGGGACCATTTTTAATGATTTTTTAATGTAGCTTGTCCTTGAAATTCTGAAGTCCAGGAACCAGGGATCTTGACTGTCTTTGGGACCATTCTGCCTCTTTAAGGAGTTTTAAAATATCTTTTGTTTAATCCATTCTGTATTAATCTTCATATTTAATTGACAGCAACTTTTCTAAATTTCTTTTTTTGTGTTTTTTCCCCCCAACAATGGCAAAAACAAGAAATGTCTAAATTTCCAGGAGCAGTACAATAGCATGTTTTCCTTACCACGTATGTTACTACAAGTATGCAAATTTCTATACCTGAACTTCTTCACTTTTTTTTTTTTGAGTTGGAGTCTCACTCTGTCACCCAGACTGGAGTGCAGTGGCATGCTCCCAGCCACCGCAGCCTCGACCTGCTGGGCTCCGGCGATCCTTCTGCCTCAGCCTTCCAAGTAGCTGGAACTACAGGCGTGCGCTACCACGCCCGGCTAATTTTTGGTTTGTTGTAGAGACGAGGTCTCGTCAAGTTGCCTGGGCAGGTCATGTACCTGCAGGCTCAGGCAATCCACTCACCTCGGCCTCTCAAAATGCTGGGATTACAGGCTGAGCCACCGAACCCTTCATGCTTTCATTTGATAAAACTGCTAAGGTGCTCCCTTAAGGTGCTTACTTTGTAGTCAATTAGCATGACTGATCTGTCTTCTTTAAAGGACCTAGGTAAAGCATTTCACATGGGTGCCTATTTTGGGGTCCCCTTGTGACATTTTTCTTCATATTCCTTTTCTCCATTGGTAGCTCCACCCTCCTTTTTAAGCCCTAGCTTTTTTCTTTTCATTTGACATGTTTATTGACCACCTTATGTGCTGAGCCAGTGGAGATAAAGATGGCAACAACAATTGCTAGGTGAGTTTACAGTTTGGGGGAGACACATTATTATACGGTCTGGTTGAGTAATTAAACAGTTACGGAAAAAGCACCATGGAAACTGAGAAAGATGTAGGCCCCGGATTTTAAAGATTGTTTTCTTCCTGCTCTAGGGTCATTATGTATTATCTGAAAGTCAACCAGAATTGGAGGAAAAGCAAACTTCTGCCCTCTCCGGTGGAGTCCAGGTTCAGCCACCTGCACACAGTGACTCCTTGGACCCCCAGACTACCAACCAACAGCAAACCACACAGTACATCATTACCACCACCACTAATGGGAATGGAAGCAGCGAAGTGCACATCACCAAACCATGACTCCATCCTGGAGCTAGAAGCAAGCAGTCACATCATGTCTTTCCTCAAGTATGAAAGCTTCTGACACCTAGAACTCTTTTTTAAGATTTATTATTCAGTCAAAAGTTTGGAAACTACAGATTTGGCATTCATACATACACTGGGGTTTATGCTGCCAAGGTCGTCTTTACCAAATTAACTCAAGGTTTTTGCCACGGAATGGAGATCTTTCAGGGGAAAGAATATTTCAAGATGGAGAAAAATTGCCTTGCTCTTGAGCTGGTTTTTTAACACATCGATAAGCCTTACCTTTCCTTTGTGGAGATACTAAGTGGTGTATTGTGTTAATACCAAAGGTGGAAAAAGGATGTGCCAAGTCCATGGTTACTGGACTTCTTACTTCTAAGCCATGGCAACAAAGGAGAAGGGGCATTTTGGGGCATGTATTAGGTTTCTCATGAGTTTGAGTTTTTAGTAGTTTAAAAAAGGGAACCTATTGAATACGAAAATAAACATAATGAAATAAGTTTGACAGTGATGTTCTGAAAGAAAAACTGTCATCTAAGTTTTTCTTATTGCTGATTTTTTAAAAACTTTCCTATTTTGGGAAACTACTTTTGGGTTGTTGCTAGTACTTTCCACAAATGCTCGTCCTTAGTGGATTAGGTCAGAACCTCATGTTCTGATAGTTCTTACTTTATTACTTCACAAAGGTGAACTCCCTGAAAGAGAGAAGGTTGCTTGATGTAAGCAGAATTTAATGCAGATGTAACCTCTGCATTAAAACCTTGCCTCTCATTCTCTGGTTGTGGTTGTTTTAAGAAGATACTGGTACCAAGAAAAATTACTAAAGAAAAAAAAATGTGTATATACACACATGCACATTATGTGTATATATACATGTGTGTGTGTGTATATATATATATATATATATTCAGAGAGAGAGAGAGAGAATAAAAGAGAGAGAAACAGAAACAGAGAGATGGAGACAGAGAAAATACTTAAATCCTGCCTTGTAGGATCCAATTACCACTTGTTGGTAAAGGATGAATTCTTTGCTCTTACCAAGTATACACTTAACTCTTGCTGACAGTGTTCAGTGTATTTTAGTACTTTCAATGCTGTCTTAAGGTGAACATTCTTTAAAGTTGGATGGAAATAAAAGGCTACCTTCCTTATTTATTAAGATTTTTAACTTTAAACATATTATAACTAACTTGGACCCTTTAAAAGATGACCGACTTCACACAAGGGAAAAATAAAAAATGTGAGGACCATTTGTAATACATTAAGGTAATTATAAGGGATTTGGAAGAAATTCAGTCTTTATGAATATTAAACTGTTGGAGAGGCAAAAAAAAAATCCACCTTGATGATAGTATTTCTTATATATGTTCCTATTTGGGAGCCTTGTTTGCTATGAATTCAATGGGGACAAATAATTCTTTTTACTGTACATTCCAATTGTACACATAAATCATTTAACAAAAGTAGTATGTATTTTAACAACTTTTTGTGACATGCTAACACATTTTAGAAAATCATTGCATAGTATAATTTATCACTCCAGGACAAAAAGTCCTGACTTCACTTCAAATGATGCTAGCTAATTTATTTTATTTACAGTTCTGGGCAAAACTGGTTCGATAAATTAAGAAATAGAGTAGCTTTTTTGTGGTACAGATACCTTTTTGAAAAGTAAGCAATTCTGTTGAAATAACTCTACAAATAATATATAAATTTTGTACTTTATTTTTGAGATCTCATTCATATAGTTATCCCTGAACATTTGGGCACTAAAAGAAATTGAGAAAGTTACTTTATAACTGTGTGGAAACAGAAAATAGACTATATTTTTGGTGACAAAGAGGTACCTTCAATGTTTCCAACAGAAAATATTGGCCCTGTGTTGCAAAATGCCTACTAAAGTCCCACAGTGTAATGATTATGAATATCCTAATGTCCAGTCTACACAGACTTGCAAGGGGAAGAATGTTAGAAATTTCTAAAGGTTCGGATTTTAGTTTTTATAAACTATAAAAAACTTTTAAATTTGAACCAGTAAAGTATCTCCCCTCCCTTGAGGAATAACTTATTGAAAAATGAAAAACTATCACTGAATGGAGTGTTCATTTCATGCCAGTTATTTCAAGTTTAAAATACACAGAAGAAAATATTGTGGAAAGACCTTTTTGTCTCTTTCCCTTCTAAGTTTTTTTCTTTATCTTTTTTGGTCCTTATGTGAAATAAAGACTCTAAAAAGAATTTGTATATTATAACTAGTGATGCGGGTAGCAGTCAAGCCAAATAACATGGCTTTAAGATCAGGTGTTCTGCACATTCATTCCAAGATCATAGATTTTCAAAACGACTTGGATTTGAAGAGATGGCAAATTATAAGCTATCTGAAGACCCAATTTGGAAAACATGTATGTAGCTAATGTTGATAGTTTGGTCTCTTTCAAGACACATTGACACTGTAGATGTCATTCAGTGCAGTGTGAGTATTTTGGAGTAGGTTGGGCATAGATTTTATGTTTTTATTGTTTTAATTTGTACCCTCAGAAATATACATTTCATCATGTACAATTCCTGTTATTCTGGGAAAACCTATTGTTTTGATCTTCTTAAATTGTTTTCTGACTTGGAATTATCTTTTCAAAGAACTCTTAAGATGTCTAGGTCTAAAAAGCACTTCATGAAATGCTAAAGCTGACCCACTGGTTGAAAATGTTGACCCTATCCTGTTATTTAAATGTGAACATTTATTGTACATTCAGTGAGTTATAGTGTTAATAGTCTTGTGCTATGCAGCAGGTGTAAAAATTAATAAATATTTTTTTTAATAAACATTTCTTGTTTGTATATGTGAAGCTACAAGAGCCACTGAGATAGCTACATTTTTTTTCTTTTGCATATTACAACTTAACTTCTGGTTTCCAGTCTGGCATATAAGAAGCTTGGAAGTTGCCTCTCCATCCTGACAATAAGTGAAAAGCTGAATAAATGGAAAACCAACAACTCTTCTTAGATCCATCAGAGAAATGAGCTCACAGAGCAAACTGCTGCCCGTGGAATTGGAGAGACAAACAGGCAAATACAAGAATCACAACATACAGAACAAAAATCCATGAGCAGAAACTTCCTGTGAGAAGCAGTGCCAGAGTAGGAAAGCCTGAACTGTAATTGATGAATTGCTGCAGGTGCAGTGTAGACAAGTCTGAAAGATTAAAAACTCTAGGGTACCCAGTCATGGGAAAGGAAAGGGGGACCCACATTTTTGTGAGTTTTACCCCCAAGAGCTTGACAAGATTCTTACAGTTAGCGTTGGAGAAAAATCCCCTCATGCTTCCAGGAGGGGAAGGGAAAAAGGAATCATTTTGAGATTTACCAGAGCATTCTGTTCTTCCTAACAAGACCTGCCATCAGGAAAAAGTATTTGTATCAGCGCCTAACCTGCTGAAGTTACAGCAGAGACTTACTGACCTGGAGGAGGGCAAATACCGAAGCCCAGGCCCACTCTAACCATCCTGCCTCACCTAAGGGGGGAAAACTGAGAAGTATGTGTGAAGCTGCAGGAACAGGCTCCCTTGAAGACTGAGACCTACTGTAAGTCTTATCCCCACATTACTAAAGACCTACTTATAGAAATTCATTTTATCTGGTATTCATGTCCAACTATCAAGAAAAAGTTACAATGCATAATAAAAGGCAAAAGACGCAGGGTGAAGAAATAGAGCAAGCATCAGGCCCAGGTGTAGATGCAGGAGGAATGATGGAATTTACAGACTAGGAATTTAAAACAACTGTGATTAATGTGAATTGGGCTCCAATGGAGAAAGTAGACAACAATCAAGAATGCATGAATAATGTAAGCAGGGAGATGGAAATCCTAAGCTTAAAAAAAAAAAAAAAAAAAGCTGGAGATCAAAAGTACTGTCACAGAAATGAAGAGTAGCTTTGATAGATTTATTAATAGACTAGACACATCTAAGAAAAGAGTCTCTGAGCTTGAGGATATCTCAGAAATTTCCAAAACTGAAAGGAAAACAGAAAAAACACTGAAAAACAGAAGAGAATATCCAAAACTGTCAGACAACAACAAAAATAATATAAATATGTGTAATAAGACTACCAAAACAAGAAAGAGAAAAGAACAGAGGAAATATTTAACAAAATAATGACTGATAATTTCCCCAAATTAATATCAGACATGAAACCCCAGATCCAGGAAGCTCAGAGGATAAGTGGGATAAATGAAAACAAACAAACCCAAATGCTAAAAAGCAAATGAACAAAACATCTCTTTTCTTCAGAAACCGTGCAAATAAAAAGACAGAGTGAAATTATGTAAAGTGTTGAGAGAAAAAAATGACCAACATAGAATGCTGTACCCTATAGAATTATCCTTGACAAGTGAAGGGGAAATAAGGACTTTTTCAACAAACAAAAATGGAGGAAATTTGTTGCCAGTAGACTTGCCTTGTAAGAAATGTTAAAAGATGTTTTTCAGAGAGAAGGAAAATGATAAAAGAACATAGATCTACATAAAGAAAGAGAGCGTTAGAGAATACATAGGTGAAGGTAAAAGCAAACCTTTAATTTTTCTTATTCTCTCTCTCTCTTTTTTGAGTCAGTCTCACTCTGTTGCGTAGGCTGGAGGCAGTAGCACAATCATGGCTACAGCCTCAACCTGCTGGACTCAGCCTTCCAAGTAGCTGAGCCAATTTTTTTGATTTAGTGTAGAGTTGAGGTCTTGCCATGTTGCCCAGGCTGGTCTCAAACCCCTAGGCTCAGGCAGTCTTCTTGCCTAAGCCTCCCAAAGTGCTGTGATTACAGGCATAAACCACCACACCCAGCCAATTTTTCTTTTTCTTAATTGATCTAACACATAACAACATGTTCAAAATAATAGCAATGATGTGTTTGGTTATATATGCTAATGTGTGTGTATGTGTTTATGTGTAAGTGAAACGAATGGCGACAATCATACAAGGAATGGAAGGGAGGAATTACAATTA